TAATAAATGACCTTAAAATTGTGCACTCCGTGCATCACTCGTGTTCACATTTTGGCATATTACAGGTCACGTAATATATATATCCCGTACATTTTTTTTTATTCATTTATATAATTATAAGAATGGATAAATGACCTTAAAATTGTACACCCCGTGCATCGCACGAGCTCTGTACTAGTAATTTTTATATAATAGAAGTACATGTCTAATCTATCTATATATAAAAAGGTTGTTGGTTAAATCATTTTTAGAAACTTTTGACCAAGAAAATAATACCTTTGACATTCTATTTATAGAAAGCTTGAAAAAAATAAAAAAGCTCCAATTTATTATCACATTTTGAATTCAAAAATTTTTGGTATAGAGAGATAAAAAGACATGAATTTAATATCACATTTTGAATTAAAAAATTTATGGTGTAGAGAGATTATAGGAATGTGTGGATAACTCACTAAAATAGATAACTATGGTTATTATTTTTAAATTAATCTATTATTTTGATTTAATCTTATGAAAGGTAATCACGTGCTCATTATACAATTCCATTCAATTTGGTTTCCTATATAAATGTCATTGGATAAATAACAATTTAAATAATACCATACAATAACATAAATAACAATTTAAATACTATAATACAAATACATATTTTAATCGGATCCATACAAACATTAAACCTCATAACATAAAAATTAAATTTCATTCTACTAAAAAAATACATTATTATACAACTTTGATCAATAAATAAATTAATAATCCATTGGATAGATAACAATTTAAATAATACAATACAATTACATGAATAACAATTAAAATATTACAATACAAATACATGTTTTAATCGGACCTAACAAACATAAAAACCTCATAAAATAAAACTTAAATTTCATGCCACTTAAAAAGTACATTATTATACAACTTTGATCAATAAATAAATTAATAATTAATATATTAATCTGTTAATACTGCAATTCTTTGTACACGAAAAAACATCTATACTGCTTAACCATCCAACTGATTAGGACTTATCTTCTCATCATATTATTCAAATTCCTATTTTAATGGCTATCAATTATTATCTAATAGCTATCAATTATTATAAAACAACATTTAAAAAACACGTGTTGACTAAAATTAGTTAAATCAAATAAAAAAACTTAATTATAGATAAATTATGGGAACCGAAATCTGTTACGAGAGAGATATTTAAACTTATTTATAGAGAAATTAATTTATCATCCAACTAATTTGCACTTATCTTATCATCCCACCAGAGTTTGAATTTTTTAAAACTCATATTTCAATGGTTATCAATTATTATCCAATGCCTTTAAAATAAACACCCGAACGTCCATCACGTATGACAAAAAACCCACTCTCATTTGGACGTACAATCAGACAAGTATAAAAATGGCAAAAGCATGGGGAAACATCAATCAAGTAACAATGACCAATAGACCAATGTTCAAGTTAAGAGTGGTTCGGGTTTTTCAAATGACTAATGAATACTCATCCTACAAGAACATCCATGAAATTGTCTTTCATGACATTGAAGTATAATTCACAATCAAATTAATGATTATTTCTTTCTTCTGATATTACATAATAATTTCTAATATTATCTTTTTTTTTTTTGGCAGGGCGGTCGAATTACAGGAATAATAAGAGCAGTAAACATCCCAACTTTCATCAATGAATTCCAAAAAGGGGCTGTCTATGCATTTCGAAACTATAAGGTCGAGAGTAACATTGGAATGTACAGATCCCCCATTGCACAATACAGGCTTATCTTACATGGTAGAACTAAACACATAAGCTACAAGGGTGACTTTCCAATTTACCGGTTCGACTTTCGAAGGTTCATCACACTAACTGATGTCGAGAAGATCGACGAATCAATGCTATTTGGTAATTGCATTTTACTTATTTAAAATTATTTTTTTATCATTTTCATGATAAATAATAATTTTACTCATATTTGACACATGTTTAGATCTCATTGGGATGGTGGTCGAGATAAACCCAGTTCAATTGAGAATATACCCTAAAACATTTTGCTTCAGCCATATAATGATCCTACTGCTCAAATCGTTGAAAGCATATATCCAATGTACAAGGAGGCACCTGACGATCCAAGTTATTTGAAGGATAAGGCTATATTAGCATCGATGTTGGATGTGGTCGAGTCTATCAATGAGTACATGACATCATTGAATTTGTTGAATGGTCGTATGTACTTGAGCTCTAATAGTACGTGCAAATCGG